TCGATTAATCAATTTTTAAAATAGATTTTACCAAGTTTTAGGTATATTGCTATAGACGACGTTTATTTATAAATTTGCCCATAAGTTTGAAAGTAGAAGTGTGCAAACAAAATATCAGGTATTTTTGTAATGTGCAAACGAAAATCTATCCATTAAGAAGTTTCAAAACAAATTTGGACAAAGTTGGGGGGCTATCGTGAAATTGGCCCCCCGAAACTTTTTTTAAATATAACTTTNGATTGAGCGGTGTGCAAACGAAAAATCGAAGTGTGCCAAACTGTGCAAACAATGTGCAAACGATTGACATAAAAAAAGTTTNTTTTTTTTAATGTTGGGGGGCCAACTTCACGTGGGTCTTTTAGTGCGGTTTTTCTTAACATCGTGCAATGCATGCGTTGCGTTGTGTTTTATTTTATTCTCACAACCATAAAGCGCATCTATTTTAAATTTCCATTTGTCAAGCTTTACAAATTTCTATTTTGTTCAACAAAAGTGTTCTTGTATTTTAAATTTTATCAGCTTCTCGATTGTAAACTTACAAATAGTTTAGTACTACAAACTTATTAAAATAATAACTAATTTTGTACAAAATTTAAGTTTCCGCAATAGACATTATTCTCCGATCAATATACCAGTTTCAAAGCTAAAAAGTTTGACCAAAATATATAATAGTTAATAATTCATGTACTAGTTACAGAAAGTCAAACTTAAACGAAGATAAAATTAGCGTATATTAAACAAAAGCAGAAAGAAAACAAGAGTGTGAATAACAAGAATAAAGTTGTGGTTTTTTTGATCGACAAGTAATATAATTATGAAAATTAGTATATTTTAATACAAAAAGTATAAATAAATAAAACACTACTAATTTAGGCAAACAAAAGTGTATCCAAATAAAATCTACATTGCTTAGTTTTTAAAGTATGAACTAAATTCACTGTTATAGGTCTGGTCAAATCTGTACATAAATATATCTGCTCTTTTTTTACACTTTTCTCCGTTTTTACATCTTTTTCTTCGTCTTGCTCAAACTATGCGCTACGCTTGCTTCGTTTTAAGTTCATAAAGTGTAGAATGTGCATATGTAACGCAACCAAAGAGCGCTTATATTCCTCCCCCTCCCCTCTCTCTCTCTCTTTTTCTCGCAATACCAAGTGAAGGAAGAAAGAAAGAAAGGAACGCTTGTCACAAGAGTGGTCAACTCTTTTGAGAAAAAATTTTCCAAGTTTTTAAGTGGATAAAAAAGAAAAAATGATAATGACGACTTTCCTATATATGTACATAATTTCTGGAAAAAAAATAAAACAAAAATAAAAGTTTTGGAAGAAAAATATTATGAAAATTTCGCTAAAATTATAAATAATTTCAGAAGTTTTATTCTATCATATAAATATAGAACATGTCTTCTTTTTGTGAAGAACAGCAACTCGGTCTTCACAAGTGTTTTAATAAAAGAGCAAGTAGATCGCTTGTTTTGGCATTAAAATGGTAACCAACCGCCAGCTGCCGACTCGAGCGTATCGCGCGAATCGCGCGTGTTGTCATCACGCAAAAAATGTCATCGACCGATTTCACACAAGTTGGTATCGCAACATGCAACGGCTGCGATCGATCGACTATAAACGTGACTACAACGTCGCCTATAGAATCGTGCAGACTTTGGAAGCAACTTCGTAAATGTTGGACTCACGTTTGAAAGAAAGTACTTTTTACGATGAACATTTCGATCGCAGATCACAATCAAATATCGCAAATATTGCGAAGAAGCAATCTCACATTTGCTGATGATCTAAAATTAACTATGTATTTTTATTTTTTTCAGATAACAATTATTAAGATAACGCCCGCGAAATTTCAAGATTTTTCATGTTTCTGACAAAATCTACACACGTGAGGTAAATGACGCAATTACTGTGTTTCTTGATATTATAGTTGATGTTCGCGAAATGTTTGCTAGTAGAAATAGTTACGGTTCGTTTGAATAATTGCAGAGTAATATTATCAATCTAGTACACGAGGATTGCGAATATTATTTCGAAACAGATGCAAAAACTTGGAAAGTTTTTCATTGTTGTATTTTTAAGTTTTTTTAAATTTAGAAAAACATCTTCTCTCTCGGATCTCAAGAGAAGACAGCAGTAAAATGCGAAATATAATATAATATGCAGAATATAAGAACAATGCACACAGTTTGAAAGAGCAGGTCTGTAGAAAAAGATATATATATGTATATATATATTTTACTTGTCATGTACATATATATATGTATATATACACATACTCACAGCAAAATCTCTAAATATTGACACAAATATTTTTCATGAAATTTTTTTGCGAGAATATCATGTATTGTTAAACGTTTTCGGCGCACAACATAGTATAGCATGTAAAAAGTCATCGATCTCCCGTCTTCGATCACGTTGTTACTTCATTGTTCGTCGTCGCGCGATGCGACGATGACGATGACAACGAAAACGATGACGTTTTTTGTCGTCTTGCGTTGCATACGCAAAGAAAATGAGTCCGTTTAATACTCTTCGCGACGTAATGTTATAGAAGTTTCTCTTTCGTAAGAAAAACTCACACATTTCAGTTTACTTTAGCCGGCTCCGAACGATTTTAACGAGCGCTCAGCTCTTTTAACAGACTCCTGGACCACGCTGTGCGCAACATCTGGTGGGATTTCTTCAGTTCCGGAGCCTGTTTGAAATCCAGCTTCATGCACTTCATTCTCCTTCTTTCTCTTTCTCTCATTCTCACACACATACACGCACACAGTCCCCGTTCGCAGGAGAGAAGCTCGCGTAATGTATTCTTGCACCCACACATCATCGTCCCGAGTGTGTACCGTGTGTATCGATCCCCGAGAATACACACGAAGGTGGTCGTGAGCGCCATCAGGCTCCTCTATTTCCTTCCACTTTCCTCTGTCTTTCTTTTTCTCTCTTTCTATATACATACAACGTTCTCTCTTTCTGTCGTTATTTTTCTGTCTTAAATCTCGAAAACGGAGAGATCTCACTATCTTTGTTGTGTTCAAGTCGAGGAAACTTACCACATCGTGCCGGGCAAACACATATCGCGCGTTGCGGTTATATATATATATATATATATGTATATCGTTAGGGCGAGTCCGAGGATGTCCTCACACTACTCGGCGATGCCTCTAGCGTGACAGAAGCGCGACGATGATTTTATCCTCTTGTCGACTAACGATTCAAGGATCAAATCTCATAAAATAACGATTATCGATTCGCGGCGAATGTTTGCACGAACAGCGTAACGATACGATGGCAATTCTTACCTTGGGTTTTTTAAGTGACAAATTCCGTACGCTTGCGTACGTAAGCTCAACCGAACGACGAACAACACACACCAAATGACGGTCTGAACTCGACTGACGAGCGAAGCGACGACTGACGACGACGACGACGAGGCGTAGGGCGTCGTTGTGACCAATCGCGTTTCCGCTTGCGCGAAAGATTACATCAGGTTCGTTCGTACGACTGGACTTTCTGCACTGTTTGCATTTAGGGCGAGACGGACTTATGTTTCAGATTCAAGAGAATAAAGAAAAAAGAAATCAAGTGCAACAATTCTTACGTATGTATTGCGAAAAGAAATATATACAATTATAAATAACACGATGCACTTTGTTTCTTTATCAGAGAGAAGACTGAGAGCGGCCAGACCCATAAGAAAATGTGTAATCGCTTTATCGCCCTGTAAGCAAGCGCAATGTTCATGAGTGGTGCACATTGGCATCTACGTAGCCACGAACGATTTGTCGGTACGTACGTTCAAACGTGGACATGGCTCTATGTCCACAACCGTGCGGTTCTATTCCGTGCTATGAGCCAGCACCGAGAGCACGTGTCTTTAAAAACGTGACTACAGTAAAGTCATGTGACTTTAGTCTCGTGTTGTTTTTTCTCTCACCCTGTCACGTGACTTTACTTTAGTCACGTTTTTAAAGATACGTAACTTAAAATAAAGTCACGTTAACAAAATTGATGATTACTGCTAAAGCCTCTTGCACAATGGAAGGAATAGCGATAGAAATAACACCAGTTATAAGAGTTTATATCTATAAATAACGGTAGGAACAGCGGAATCTAACATATAAAAATACACATGTATCAATGCAGATCAGAAAACGAAATAAGCAATAGCGATAAATTTTCCGACGAGTTGGAATTCTGTGTCTGGCTTATCGCTATCACTATTCTCTCGCATTGTGCAAGAGGCTTAAAGCTCGTCAACACGCGTCGAACCATATGGTCATTTTCTCGATTCTAACACTTTTTCGATTATGCTGTGCTGAGTGAAAAACACTTTTAAACGCAGTAATCGCATTGGAATATGTAGAAATGTACGCTGTAGACATAAAGGCCGAAGCACAGACTTTTGCATAACGAATAACGCTTAACACATAAGAAAATCAACCAATCTAGCTTTTCGTTTTCACCCCTACTTCTTGTTTTAGAAAGCTTTGATTGGTTGATTCTCTTATGTCTTATGCGTTATGCATTATGCAAAAGTCTGTGCTTCGGCCTATAGAATTATATCTACGTTTGAACATAATGTACGTACCAACAAGCATAGACATATAAGAAATAGACTGCGCGTCCCGTATCTTTTCTGTGCAGAAAGAATGGTCAAACTTCGGACGAGGATAGATGCTTTCACCCGGGCGGGTTCCGTTTGACCACAGTACGATTCGACACCGCTCGATTCGACACAGATTTATTCGACACCAAATTATTCGACACCGTACGATTC